TTGTATCTCGTCTTCGTGGCTGTGTATCTCGCGTTTCTCGCAGATACTTGTTACTGCCGTTAATTCTGCATTTCTAATAATGGACCCAAGTATTATTTGTGAATTATCAAATTCGCTGAGATTTTCCTGTCCCTAACCCTTGAGAATGTGAAAAGGTGACCTACAATTCTCCTCCCGCAAGCTGCAGCTCACCTCTTTCTCTTCGCAACATCCTTCTCTGTACACGGGGGGGAGGCGTTAAATAGGGAAAATCAGCAGGATTTATTTCCTTCTCACCATGGGCCAAGTGTGAACAAAATCAGTTGGTCTATGGCACCCTGTTTGTGTCAGAAATGCCCCTCTTCGTCGTCCTTGAGGGCAACCTGGTGAACATCCAGGCCTTGAGAGATGACAAGATGAGCCCACTCTCATCAACAGTGGTTTTATCAGCAAGGAAAGATAACCCTTGTGTGGTCACAGAAAAATCAGATTTATGCACCATGAAACCTGCCTTGGCCTTCATGGTCTCCAAACAGCGTGAAAAAAACACATTATGAAGGTGGTGGTTCAGGGAAGAGCATGGATCTTCCACCTCTCCAGGGTCGTAGTTCTAATTTATCCCCAGTTCTGTGCAGCATGTGTTCTAGAAGCTCTGGTTTATTCTTACAGTACAAATATAGGTGGACTGGCGACTCTGGGTCACTCCCCTGCCAACCACGGTGCACATCTGAGATGGTCTACGTAAATACACAGACCACCGAGGGGTAACAAGCAAGAGGCGTGGCTGCTCAGAGCCACACTAGGGAGGAGACAGGAGGGTCTGGGGGACATGATGGGCAGGACATTACAACCACAGTCCATACTTAATATAAAAAGGCAACAGAACAACAAAATATATAGGAAAACATTCAAGCACTTGCTGATTTTTTTAATATATGATTTTAATATACACAGGTTTAGTTATCTATATGTGTCATAAAACGTATGGTATTTAATGTTTTGAATAATGTTTTTCATATATTCAGAATATTCTTTCGGAATTGTTTGATGCCATGGTTGCTGCTACAAGAATAATACAACAGTACTGTGCCTTTAATAGTAAAATAAGTTTTAATGGCTTCCTCTCATCATGAAGCAATGATCTCAGCAACAGTGACGGTTAGTTTACACGCATGGATCAAATCTTTTATTTGCTTTCTGTTAATTAATTATCTAAGTTATTTCCAAGGATGCATGTCATCTCAAAACATAAAATTACAATATATTTCAAAAACCTTTACAGTTATCTCTAGTTGATAACAATACATTTGAAACATTAAATACATCATTTTAAACATTCACACCCTAAGCTCTTTGACCAGGTTATGGGGACCTTGCATCCTCCACATACTAGTTAACTGAATATAATTCAGATTCTCGTTCCTATGCCATATATTTGCATAGATTACAGTTCTAGAGTTTTATGCCAAACACAGAAACTTTTTATTCAGGCTGGTCAACTTCTCTGCTCTATATCCTCCAGGATTCTTAGGACCGATACCACAGAGATGCTTTGATAGAATCAGAATGTGAAACCTCCGTTTGGGAAGTCCCCACACTGTTCTGATATCTCAATAACTGTTGATTATCAACAACAATAAATCGTCTTTTGGGAAAATTGAGATTGTACAGAAGCTCTGTAAGAACTAATTTAAATGGACTGAATTGAACTGGCTGGAACAAACATGCACTCATGCCTGGAGTGATTTTTCTCCATTGAACTTGAAAATTTATGACGGAAGTAATTTCACAGCCATCTTACTCCAAAATGAAAATTTCCTTTTTTTTCCTTATTTATAACTTATTAGTTATTTTCTTCACTTTCTACTGACAGTGTTTCAGATCAACAAAGTGGAGCCCAGACTTCTGGCTAAACAGAAGATTATGGATTCTCATCCACGTCGCTTCTTTTATTCAGCCTGTATACTTTCCCCCAGGTAGTCTGCTTTCTTACAGTAACGTTTAACGAATTGAGTTAAAGATAAATACGAAAAGGGTAAGACTAAGTCAGTGAAAATATATAGAAAAAATATATATTCAAATAAACATTACAATTATATACAGTATCTGTACAGTTTGCAGTCTAATAGAATATACATACATATGTATTTGTATTGCAAAGTTCAGTGTGCTACTTTGTTGTTGAGGTAAATAGGCATAACACAGAGATGTCATAATAGCAGTGAGTGGCAGTGAGGTAGAGCTCCCTGAGAGGTCAGAGTGTGTTATTATGACACAGTTAAGCTGTGGTGGTATCTCCTGATTTAGGAGTCTTATGGCCTGAGGATAGAGGCTCCTCCTGAGCTTCTCTGTTTTGCCATAATACTCCTGAAGCGTTTGCCTGATTTATGCAGATGGAAGAGGCAGTTACTGGAGTGAGACGGATCTTTGACGATCCTGGTTGCTCTGTTCCGGCATCCAGTGGCGGAGCTAGACTTTTATTTAAGGGGGGGCCAAAGGGTTTCTCAGAGGTGTCCATATAAATATGACAAATGAAGGGGAAAAAAACTATTTTTCTCGTACACACTCATAATAAACAATGAGTTTGTAAATGTTTGTTGAATAAACACAACAAACATTTGCAAAATCATAAACACCAATCATAAAGCCCAAGCCTAATCTAATCCAGGACCAAACATGAACTCAAACTAGATTAAACCCAGACTAAACCTAGACTAAACCATGACCAAACCAGAAATAAAATTGCACCAATGACCAAACAAGAGCAGTGCACATGTAAATTTAAAGCTCAGAACACAGATATAGGACTAAAAACAAATTCTCAAAAAATAAATAAACAAATAAAACTGTATCTAAATTGTAAACAGTAAGATTTATGAATACCACCAGAACTGACCTGTATTCCCCTGGATGTATTTGCAAAAGTTTCAGAACCACTTAGTCAAATAAGGACATTTTGCAGAGCAAGGATACACACAGAAAATTAATGACTGGTTCTCCACATACACACTTATCACACAGACTTCAAGCAAGGGCTAGCTTTGCTAAAATAATAAAACAACACTATAATTCAGCATGCGCGCTAAAACATACATACGTACACAGACACTGTCTAAAAGACTATCTATATCAGCACGAGCAGGGCTTAGTGGCTAATTTAAACGAGACATGGAGCAGAAGTGCGCAACGCTTTCATGCTGCTATTTTTTATGCACTGCAAGTGTGACCACCTCTCATTAGTGTAATATGTTATAAATACCTGCTTAACTCCTGCTGTTATCAATACCGCGGATGTGTTTTGGATCATGTAGGAACGCGTGCCACTGCCAGAGTTTTTAGCCAGTGACATGTCAGTAAGCAGCACGCGCAGGGTCCTGCTGCGTCGGGATGCCTTCAGGGCCACTCGGAAATTACAGTTTTCCGCTCAAATCTTTGCCTGGTCTCCTCATTGGTATATTTTAATGTTTACCATTTCCAGCGGGGTGGCACTGGGGATGGCAAGGGCTCTGTTGCGGGTGGCAATTGCCACCCCTGGCACCCCTTTGGCTCCGCCCCTGCGGGCATCTCCTGATGTAAATGTCCTTACATTGATTTCGTCTTCGGTATAAGAGGGCTGTGAAACATATAACTACCCAAAATCCAGCCAGTAGAAACCCTTGTCAAAAGAAAAGAGCAATCGATTCAAATTACAAGTCAGAACAAATAAGAGGATTTGTGTCGTTTGTGAACGTCCATTTCTCGTTTTTGAATGAAGGATTTCGGTTTCAGCGCATTCTGGACTGAAAAATATCATGCCTCTCACCACCGATACGCGCTCTCTATCGCCACCTAGTGGTGTAACGATGCACGGAAACCTGAAGGACTCAGCACGGCAAATATATTAACGTTAAGTATTATATATAAACATGTAGCAAATCTCTACATATAGATTAGACATTGTATGTAAATATATAGTTTAAACAATTTAATAAATAAACGGGCGACTCATGAAACGAGAAAATACCGCTCCCCTGGGAATTCGGGGCTATTGTTAGGTCTTTAAATATCAAATTTTCTATTGCGTGTCGGAAGTGACCGGTCTTTAGCAGAAAGCTCGTAAATGCTGCCAGTTCGAGCTCATGTCCTCGGGCTCTGCTAATGCATTCAACCTTAAGCACAGTAGATTTTAAACGGCCATTTTAAAAGAAAGTCCCATCTAAGCAAATTATACTACAACTACAACAATAATAAAAACAACAGGGACGCAACAGCCACCCGCTGGGAGCGCAGCCGTACCGGCATGGTGACGTAGGCTGACGACATGCCGAATCATATGATCGGGTCACGTGACTTACCGCCGTCCGCAGGGTCTCTTCCTGAAGCTACGGCTACGCACCTCTGGAAGATCGGACGTATTAAAAGGCATAAGCATGCCCACATTCCCGGAGCTGTACTTTAATGTGGACAATGGTTACTTGGAGGGTTTGGTGAGAGGTTTTAAGGCTGGGATCCTTTCACAGGGCGACTATCTCAACCTGGTGCAATGTGAGACCTTGGAGGGTAAGTGAGACGCGGCGATGTGGCTTCTCGGCGGCGATCTGCAGGCTTTTCTGGGCCTTCACTTTAAAAGACTCTGTCGAATGATGTCGTATTTTTGTTGTGGAACTAAACCGAATCCATACGTTCATCATAGGTTTCGCTTACGATTGGATTTTAGATGACAGAGCCGAAAAACCTTATAGCCTGGTTCTTAGCATTGCTAATAGCAGTGTTAGCCCCTGCTGATAGACATTATAAAGATTAAGGTCTCCTGTGTTTTCCGGTATTACATGGCATCGTCGCTTACCTTTTCCTTGTTGAAACATCTGGATAATCCGGAGCGGAATATTGGGTTATAGTTTGAATCAACCCTCCTGACTGTTAAGCAATACTGGCTAATGTGGCATCCAGTTCGCCCGGTTATTGGTTTAACGATTTAAAGCTGAACCTTACGTCAGCCATTGTAGCATCCTGAAGTTGTAATTTCTCTTTGTTTTCCCTCGTAAAATTGAAAAATCATTTGGTCTCATTTTAACCCGGACAGTAAAATATCAAAATACAGTCAATGTTGATTTCTACTCTGCTGCTCCTTGTCCTTGTAGTTCATAAAAGTATTTCTATTGCCTATAGTTTATCTATATTTCGGGGCTGTTATGTCTTTTAAATATAAAAATTTCTGCTGGTTTGTGATGATGGACCTCTGGGTATTCATATTTTTGCACTTTCAGACCTTAAACTGCATCTGCAGAGCACAGACTATGGGAGCTTCTTGGCCAACGAGGCTTCGCCACTCACTGTGTCTGTCATTGACGACAAGCTGAAGGAGAAGATGGTGGTGGAGTTTCGTCACATGAGGAACCAGTCCTACGAGCCGCTCGCCAGCTTCTTGGACTTCATCACGTAAGCCTGAAGGAACCAGAGCGGCAATTAATGTCTCCGTGACAATCCTTCCATTAAGGATGTATATCAGGGTGATGAGACCTGGGCTTCAGACAGATATCCCTTTCAGGACATACTGCACAGGGCAGGGACTACCATGGGAAAGAGAGCACAAACATGCATTTTTTTTCTGACAAGAAAACACAGAGAACCTCCACACTCAAATGAGGAGGGCTGAACCAACAGACCTTACACAAGCATGCGTGATGGCATCTCAAACATTAAAATACTGTGCTCACCAAGTACAGCCTATTCAGCTCTCATCAGTGACAAGGGACTGGTGGAACAAATTAACACGAAGACTGACCTTCCTTGCCACAATTGCCACCATTCTTAAATTCTGAAAGTCAGCAGCTGTTCAAATATCCATCCATCCATCCATCCATAACTACTTATCCAGTTCAGAGTCGCAGCAAGCCTGTTGCCTTTCCCAGGAAGCAAAAGGCATGAGGCAGGGAGATGAAATATGTACAGCCTCTTAGAAATGTATATTATTTTCCTAACATAAATTTGAAACTGGTAGCTGATACACTGTTAAATGACAACGTGTGTCTCATTTTGAGCGTAAAAAGCCTGGTATTTCCTGGTAGTTGCCGATTGGTTGTCATGCCTTGAGGCTTGTGGTTTGTTCTGACTGGCGTCTCTGTGTCCCGCCCCTTTGCCCATGTCTAGGTACAGCTACATGATCGACAATGTCATCCTGCTGATCACGGGCACCCTGCACCAGCGCTCCATCTCCGAACTGGTCCCCAAGTGCCACCCACTGGGCAGCTTCGAGCAGATGGAGGCCGTCAACATCGCCCAGACACCCGCCGAGCTCTACAACGCCATCCTGGTGGACACGCCCCTCGGTGAGAGCTGTCATTTACAGTTACAGCTTTAATTCCTTATTTTATATTATTTTCAAGTTTCATTTGAAGGCCAGTTTTTAAATTTGTGTGGTTTAATTTTTATTTAGTGTTTATATTAATGGTTTATTTCTGTTTAGTTTTTATGTATCTTAGTTTCAGTTTAAGTTCATGGGGTACACTGAAAGCTGTAGAGCTATTTATGTGTCTGATCTTTAGAGAGTCCTACATGCATATTTTATACTAATGTCCTCAAAATGAGCAAAACATCTTTCAGGTACTATTAAAGATCATCAAAAATAAAGAAATCATTACTCTAACCGAACAGTATTAGAAAGCTGGGTGCCACTTTACTATAAGGCCGCCCATATAAAGGGGTTATGAATGCTTTATAATCTGGCTATTAATTAGGTTGTAACACTTTGTAAATTAAGACAATTTTAAACAAGTTATAACACTGTTTTCTTTTTATTAATGAGTTGCTCCAGTTTACAAGTGGCGAAGTTGAGCCTTATTGTAAATGGTACTGAAAACAGTAATGGAAAGTATTTTTAAAAAAATGTATTTCAGTTTCATACGCAATATTGAGTTTTTGTTTAATGGGAGTTTTTAATCTTTATTTCATTTGGATTTTCTTTTAGTTTTATTGTTCGTTAATTCTAGTAATGCTGGTGGTGAGGGCATGGAGGTTATTGGGGGCGGTGGGGGCCAGTATTTACAACTCTCTGCTTCTATTTCCCAGTAAGCTCCGCTGTTATGTGTGAGGGGCTTTCGGACGAGGGCCTGATGCATATATAAACAGGAGCCTGATTGAGCATCAATAGGCCTTGCCTCATCTCTATCGAAACATGCCTGAAGTACATATGACATGATTGTTTTGAGGGCATTTATCAGTATTGTTTTGAAGAGGAGTAACCCAGTTCTCTTTTTAAAAAAGGCTTTCTCTGCATTGCCAAATACAGCCCTTAGCACTTGTGCCTCCACTCTGCCGTGGCCCCCACACCAGAGCTGCTGGATCTACAGGCCAAATTGGCTTCATTAAAATCCAAAAAACCTTCTGCGAGGAGTAAAATCTGGATAACTTCACAAAGAGACTGGAGCAGTACTACAGCGGCAAGAGCGAAAATTCTCTTAAAAATATTAACTATTTTTTTATTGACCCCTTTATGATGTCCTGACAGAATGTACTGCAGGTGGTCGTTTCATGCTGCTTCTCGCTGTGATTTATTGTAACCAGTAAGCTTAAACATGACTTTTGGCGTTTGTTCTGTACCAGTGAATGAGTGCCGGATTGCTTTAAATTCTGAATTTGACGTCTTCCGTAAAAGGGCAAAACTGGCCTTTTTCTGCTTACTAAGTTAAGATGTCTTTTTGTCCTTTTTTTGCTGACAGCTGCTAGTCTGACAAGACTATAAAAAAACTATATATTACAAAAAAACTGCCACAGGAATTCTATTGCCGTACAAAGTAACAGTCATTAAAGTGTGATGTATATGAACTTCCATGTCTTTTTGCCTGCTGTCAGTTATTATTGCTCGCTTGTGTGATTTTTCTGTCCTGTGTGTTTGCCTTCATCCTATTTATATATTGTGTGTGTGTGTGTGTGTGTGTGTGTGTGTGTGTGAGATGCCTGCCATGTAATGTGTGTGCGCCCGGCCACATGCGCACTTGCATGTTTTGTATACGTTTTTCAATTATGGTCTGTCTCTTCGTTGGTTGATTCTGACTCATTAATATGCCATCCTGTAAATAACACATTTGTAGTATGATTTCAGTCATAGTAAATGTAGTCTGTGATGGGGGTATGTTTATGTTATTACCAAGCCCAGTCAAATACTGGAAAAAGGAAATGTAAGCTACTTAACCTTTATGACATTAGTGGAAGCCAGGCCAGCCCATAAAAGGTGTCATGAAGTGTTTCTGTCTCGTGACAATCTTCCCTGTTTCCGATAAAACCTTTAAGTCTTATAACTGCTTTATTGAGGATTTCACTAAGTTTAGAAACGTTAACTGATACCAGCATGCCGTCCTCAGACGTAGTGTTTGACTTTTAACTAGACTTTTATTTTTATCTGTATCTATTCCAGCTGCTTTTTTCCAAGACTGCATATCTGAGCAGGACTTGGATGAAATGAACATTGAGATTATAAGGAACACTCTGTATAAGGTAAGAAAAGACCCATATTCCATCAAACTGCATTTCGGGGCTGCATTCTGTTACTATTATTCAAAAATTCTAAATGATGATGATGTGAAACCAAAAATAGTTGAGATCTGGTATTTTGCTTTACAGGCTTATTTAGAGTCTTTCTACAAGTTCTGTTCATCCCTCGGAGGAACCACTGCAGACACAATGTGCCCCATTCTAGAAGTAAGTAATGGCTGTGCCGTCTTTACCGACGGACCAGAACTGCCCCAGAACCACCCTAAGCCGTAGCAGTAGTGAGCTTCATTGTCATGTCGACCATGTACATTAAAGCATATAATGCCCTCCAAGTGCAACATGCAACACAACAGGACAACAGCACAATTATACCTGTACACACACATCTCTAAATATACATACACATAAAAATAAGATAAAACTACTAAAGACTTTTGGGAGGGTGGGGGCAGATCAGGGAGGCCATGACAATGCATACAACAATATACATACAACAATATACTATGCGATTTATTTAGTACATTTTAACATTAGACTATGCACTATAAGACATGCAAATATGCTGGCAGTGTAGTTAGTGTAGACTTGTGTACTGCTGCGCAATCTCCTTGTGCAATTACATTGTGCAAATATGAGCAATTGTGCAAGTATGCAGTGAGAATAAAATATTTATAGCAAATGGGACTGTATGTTCATGTTTCTTTCTGCTCCCCCCCGCCATGGCGTGACCAGTTCGAGGCTGACCGCAGAGCCTTCATCATCACCATCAACTCCTTCGGCACCGAGCTGTCCAAGGAGGATCGGGCCAAGCTCTTCCCCCACTGCGGGAAGCTGTACCCCGAGGGGCTGGCCCAACTGGCCAGGGCAGACGACTATGAGCAGGTCAAGGCCGTGGCTGAGTACTACCCCGTGAGTGTCTGAACCCCGTGAACGCCATGCCCTGGTCAGGGTGTGGCCCACATGCGGCTGAAGGGTCAGATTTATCAAGCTTTTCTCAAAGGAATACAATACAGTAGAAGAAAGAAACATTTTTGTAATGTTCTGTGTTTTTCATTCATTTTCGTTTCAGTGGGCTTGTATTCGTTTTGGTTTGAATGTGCTAATACTGCACTCATACAAAAGGTTGTTTCGTTCAGTGCTCAGACTCTAGCTGTTAGTGGTTGTTTTGTATCATCCTTCTCCTCTGGTAGATTAACAATCCAGTAGAGACAATTTGCCGTTAACTGCCACGCTTTGCATTTCCCTAAAAAAAAAAAAGGAACTTTAAATGGTACTTCTTTACTGTGGTTCTTTGAGTTGCTGAGTTAAGTGATTTAGAAAAGGAAAAAAAAACCCCTTAAAATGCAAACCTGGAAACTCACGTCTCCAGTCTGCTCCGTGAGACTGTGGTCATGTGGCCCTGGATCACAGACAAAACTCAAATTTAATGTACTGGTGCTGAAATGGATATCCAGTCTGTAAAAGTGACACGAATGATTTCGAATCAGTCAGATGACGCATGTAGCTTTTGAAAAGGACAATTTATATTATATCTGCTGTGATGTAGGATTGTCATATAAAGACATGTTTCTGCTTTGCCAAAGGAATACAAGCTGCTTTTTGAAGGGGCGGGAAGTAACCCAGGAGACAAGACACTAGAAGACAGATTCTTTGAGCATGAGGTGAGCAATGTGACTGTGTTCAGACAGGCTGTACGGAGTAGGTGGACGGCTGATGTCTTATTCTCTGCTCCAGGCTGTCACAGGTAACATCTGGGAAGAAATTAGTCGGCATAATTAGACAGTGATTTACTGTTAATATTTGTATTGGACTTCCATGGTATTCTGGTTCTGGTCCAGTTGGCAGTGCTGTGCCAGTGGGGGTGAGAGTTTCCGAAGGTGCTGCTTCGGTTTGGCAGCCAGGGGGTGAACGTGGGACCTGAAAGGTCACGGTGACTCTGCTTTGGCTGGCAGGTGAAGCTGAACAAGCTGGCCTTTTTGAACCAGTTCCACTTCAGTGTGTTCTACGCCTACGTCAAGCTGAAGGAGCAAGAGTGCCGGAACATCGTGTGGATCGCCGAGTGCATCGCCCAGAGGCACCGCGCCAAGATCGACAACTACATCCCCATCTTTTAATGAGGCAGCCCCATGGCAAGATTTTATGATTCCTGACCCTCCACCACCCCACCATTTTCATGACCAAACTCACCCCCAGATTTGCCACCTCCACTCATGACAAAAATGACAGCTTCATCTTATTTTAACAACTCCCCCTCCCTCCATGACCAACTCAGATAACATGCCCTTATTTTTCCCAGTACCCTCCCCATTGTAAGACTAATAGCTTGTCAGGGAGGAGGGATCAGGCCTTTTTTTCCTTCACAGTTCAAGACAAACTGGATATTGTAGGTGTATGACAGTAAAATGAGTCTTGCAATGGTCTGTGTTTGTTGTCAATTGCTGGTCAACACCAAAATATTTTTGATTTGTTAACTAACCGGCTTTGTCTGTCTGACACTTGACTTCGGCCCGCTGGTAATTTTGGTATCTGCCTCCTGCTCTGTCAGCGATAAGAGTTCATTGGAGCAGAACCTGGGCGGACAGAATATGAGGATGTGTACTGTAATGTTTTTTTTGTTTTTTTTTATTTGCTGCAAGAGTTTGTTTTTCTTTTTCTTTTGTTATTCCGTAAAACAACATGTTGCAGTCAAAGCCGGCTTTTCCACCTACAGTACTTTGAAGTTTTCCAGTACAGTTTCAGGTGAACCCTGGAGAGTAGATCAGGAGGTCAACCGTCCAACTGCAGATTAGGATACGGCCACGGATTTTCTGTCTTGAAAGGGAACCCCCCCCCCCCCCCCCTCCCCAAGGGTTAAAGTTTAACAAAATTTACACGTTACATTCCTTTCATAATGCCCAAAAAGTTGGTTTTAAAAATATTGGAGGTTCCTGATGTTTTGCTGTCTTAATCTGTAGCTGGATGAGATAAAAATAAGGCTTGATAACACACTGTAATCATCATGGACGTTTGATGTTGTATAGGTGCTGACTTCCTGAAGACGATACAAAGGCTTTGCTTTTTCAACAAAAGACAAAGATCTTTGCCAGTTGCCAGGGTCATGGTTTGATTTTGTTTAGGAAACGTCTTGAAATGATTTACTTGTGTTGATGAGTGAACTCCTTAAATGGCAGCATGCTTGTTGCATATTTGTGTGTCCCCAATAATTTAATATATTTCTGTGTATGTAGTATAGATTTTGCTTTCGAACAAAAATGTGAATTATATATTCCTGTGTGATAATATGGAGAAAATTACATATTGAAGTAATTTCATGGAACTTGTGAAACAGTAACAAATATAAAGTTATAAATTATATAATGTTTATATCATAAACTATGATATATAATTGTGAATAAATGGCAGTAGGATATGTACTGCATGCTGGCTTTGTTTTACTGTCTGCTCTAGACTTTGATCTCTTTGGGTATTATTGCATTGGGCTCTGAGTGCTGCAATTGGGCAGAATGGCCTCATGATGGTGGTGTTTTCCAGCCAAAACTACTAAACCAGAGCCACGGACTAGAATTCTGTGCGGACCCATATTTAAGGTGTCAGTGTTACTTTTGTATGGGTCAAACGAATGGTGCTCCTGAATAAATGCCAGGAAACGGAAATGTAATGAGCAGCCGAAGCTTCAAGAGCGTTTTAAGTTGAAGCTGAAAGGCTTCGTGGCAGATTTTCTCTGTCACCTATCACACCACACAGGAACAAACTGAGAAAGTGACTTGACATACGAAACGGCACGATCAGCAGTTTTCTCACCGCCAAACGCTGATCTGGCTGAGACCACGAGAGCGCTGAGCAGAGTCTTGTAAAATCTGGGGTGCTGACGCCTCCGAGAGCTTTGCGGGACCAGAGAGACTCGGCCTCAGGTGGGTGGGGAGTGTATGTGTGTGGGTGTTTCGCCAACTGGCAGCGAACTTCTGACAAAGTAATGAATTAGACCCCCAGGAAAGGAGCACCTTCGTATAAACAGCCAGGCTTTCTGTTCTCTGTGGTTTGTCGGACCGAAGCAGCGGCTCTCGATAGATGTGTTTAGATGTTTAGGGACTGGTCTGCATCACCATGACAGATCTGCCCTACCCATCCTCCCTCTCCTCAGGCACCCCCTGGTGCATCAGAGTTCATCGGTGATGAAAATCACACCTCTCTATAAATCTGAACCTGGCGATAGCCTGTCTTTATATAGATTGATGGTCTGGGTATAGGAAGGTATTTGTGCCACCTTCCAGCGTCGCTTCCTGACCACCAGGGCACTGCTGGCTCCTGTGCAGGAACGCTTATTATGCACCTCGAGGCTGCCTGCGTGGGTTCAAAGAAAGGGCCCTGTACTGAAGCTACTCCCTGATGATTGATGACGACCTGGGGCAGCATGATTTAAAACCATATAAACACTCGTTTATGAAAATCTTCCACATTGAGTCAAGGCTTTTCTTCCTTTCCCCTTTTCTGACTACATATGGATGAGTCTACAAACACCACCCCCCTCGATCATTCCAGTAACAATAAAAATAGAATGATTCAATCGTTTAAAATGTAAACTTAATTGCCGTAATTTCTTTATGACTGCTTGGCTTCTTACTGGGACTGGAAACACTAAATGGAAATGAAAGTCTTGGAAATGTATGGACTGATTCTATGGGTTTGAGTCGAGCATGATCCAGATGTCTAAACGTGACCCTCAAAGAAACTGGAGCTCCTTGCAGCTGGGATAATCCCAATTAGAAACAGCTTTGTTGATAGCTGGTTTGCCTTCATATGAGCTTGGTACCTTCAGTGGAAGAGGACCAGCTGTGGTTTCGGTCTAGTGTTGGACCCCTGTTTTTTTGATGGTATGATCCAGCTGACATGCTGGATAGGCAAAGACTCTCAAGCTACTTTAAACAGTATTATAAGCAGAAATAAACAGTAAGACATCTTCCCATATAGTATACATTTCTGCATATCAAATGGAAATGCAAATTATTATTAAACCTAAGTATAGTCATGTATCCTGTCTGTGATGGGTTGGCCCTCCATCCTGGGTTATTCCCTGCCATGCTCCTCTAGCTTCTGACCCCCACAACCCTACATAGGACAAGCAGTTATAGAAAATGGATGGATGGATAGATGGGTGATTATCCTGTTGCTGAATAACCATGTAGGTTTGTTATATTTGTTATAATTACATTTTATTGATGAGTTGTTATGAAGGTCTCAAAAAAGAAGACATATCCATTTTGTTAAACTCATAATGTCTGGAGGATGAAGGTGTGTCTCCAGCTGTCATTGACCTGAGGCCGTCCTGCTGTGGAGATGTAGGGTTAGGGTTAGGGTTAGGGTTAGGTTTAGGGTTAAGCAGGAGCTGAGCAGATTCAGACAGAGCTGCCAACCGTTTCTGAATTTATGGGCAGTGTAAAAACATGTCTTAAATTCACTGTATCCGCAACTCCATAAATCCATTTTAAAGCTTTTTAAAGGTAAAAATTGTGTTTTGGTAGAAAATATGGCATGTCAGTGGAAAGACAGTCATTTCCATAAAATCACAAATCTAAGGGTGGCAACCCTGGATTCCGTACGTGTGTGTAGTCACTGGTCTCACAAACTCACTCAAGAAATGTTGAGCCAAATGACTGAGAAATTAATTACTGGCTTTGTAGATAGATAATTAGGTTATAGATGTTCTAGTAAATGATGGCTGTATGGCACTGAAAATCAATGAAATGATCCTTTAGCAATAGAGAAGCACTCTACATCCCACAATGTGGGATCCCCAAATGCAGACTATGGAATTTGTCATTAAGGTCATAGCTATATGGGGGCTGGGGGGTGGTGGACAAGAACTCTACAGAATGTTGGACCAAATCTATTTGAAGATGCTTGCTTTGGAATCAGACCAGCGAGCACATTGTACAATACTCTGAGTGTAGAGTGCTGATAACCAGATGGTCTCATAGGTAACCTCACCTCGTTAAGGTTTAGATTGAGCTGGTCAAATTAATTACTGTGGGAATATAATTCAGGCCAAAAGTATCATATGCATGCAGATTTTTTGTCCAGTCACTTCTCTTAGCGATTTCAATGCAAAATACATTTTATATGTAAGATATGCGGTCACCAGACACTGCAGCCTGACACTTAAATGGTTTAAAATGCTTATTAATTACGTTAATACTGCTGCAGCATTCTCTATATTCTACCCACTGTTCCACGTCGTATTGGTACTTCACTCTGCCGCATATCACTTTACTACCTCATGTTGAATTATATATTATTAGGTATCTCATAGTAGTTAATGTTCGTACTTAGTATTCATGGGTCAGGTCAGGTTGGAGAGTATTGCACTGGTTCAGTACAGTGCTGCACCCACCACATGACGAACACCTCGGGATCCCAGGCGACGCCCACCCAGGCCGAAGCCCTCCTGAAATGGCTGTCTATCTGGCGCAGGTAATGTGCCTCCTTCTGGACTTCCTGAGCAATCACCCATTCGACACAGAGCCAACCCCATGACCTCCCATGCTCTCCCAATCCATCTACTGACTTCATAGGAAGAGTCACCTGAGACATGAATGTCGCTGCCCAGGTCAGTGAGCTGCCCGGCGAGGTTGACATTCCCTCTGCAGTCAGACACACTGCTGATGTCTGTGCCCAAGAGGTCATTAAAGGCCTGGATCTTGGTTTTTATCCAGGACTCTCGCAAGCCCAGACTCTCAGACTCCTCACTCAGTCTCTCGAGAGCCCCTATCAGAGCCTCCATTGACTCTGCGAAGATCACAGCATCGTCGGCGAAGTCAAGATCCTCACCTACAGGTACCCCACAGCCGCTGAACCCCATGACCCTGCCCAACACCCAGTCCACGCAAGCACTGAACAGAGTAGGAGCAAAAACACCCCTGGAGAACCCCAGAATCAACTGGGAGGAACCCAGAGGTTCTCCCTCCACTCTGCACAGCACTCACAGTACCAGTGTACAGGCCATGATGTGCAGCAACCCTGGGGGGATCCCGCAAAGTCTCAGGATGTCCCACAGGGCAACTCGATGAACTGAGTCGAAAACGTTATGAAAATCAACAAAGGCTGTAATTTTTAGGGTTTCCTCTCATTTTACGCTCCTGATTCAGCTTCCTTACTAATTACCACACAGTTCCTGAGCTTAATTAGGTGTGGTGAAACAGGGGAAGATCTAAGCTGTGCAGGGCTGCAACCGCCCCCCCCCCCCCCCCCCCCAGGACCGGATCTGTGTACCCCTGGTCTCCAGCATTACAAAATAACAAGGACGACGTGCTACAGTAAAACAGACAAATGGACACCCCCACTTCCAGTACAAGTGCCGGATAAGCCTCTTAATGAAAGAGAGCTTTAGGACGAGGCCACGGCGCTCTACCCACCCCCCACCCCCCCCCCCCCCCCCCCCCCCCCCCCCCCCCCCCCCCCCCCCCCCCGTGGCACAAAGCTGCTGTCGGTTCACACGAGGCCGGTATGCATAGCAGCAAGCCCATGCTGCACTAGTGCACACTCACTTGGCTCTCTGCTAATGGTGGGAGAAACTCCGCAAGCCTTTCGTTCTGCAATGCGCAACCTGCTGGCAAAAGCTGTAGGGTATGGTTTTACATAACCGCTATAACCACTGTGACCACTGTGTGACTGCTATAACTAATATAGCTCCCCTGAGATTTACCGGGAATTTACGGAGGGAACAATTGAGGGCAGACCCCTCTCCTCCATGACCTCCTTCCTTCACTGCAGATCCTAGGTGGATGGCCAGAAACGGCTCCCCAGCTAAAAGGCATGTCTTTGTGAGAGCCTTGAGAAGCGTAAAAGGCAAATGATGCATGTTGATAAAGATTTCCTGAACCCGCTCTGCAGTCAGGAAATGGGGGCGGACTAGTGAGGGGGCTCTTCATGTCCCTCCGATCGAGGGGGCCGCTGGAGTGGGGGTTGCGTAATTCCCTAATTCCGCGCACATACACTCCTGCCCTTCTCCATGGCTTCTTTAACAGTGCTTGATATTCCTATAGGTACCACTGCAAGTTGGAGCAGAAGCGTTCCTAGCTCAGTTCCAGCAGAGGTGCAGTGTTGGGTGTCCACATGTGACCTGTCTCTCTGTGAGCTCTCTGTGAGCTCTTTGCTTCCCATCTAACCTTGAATTACACTCCTTTGCCCCCCCCCACCGCCAGCAGAAACTCGACTGACTGTTAACTCCATCAACTCCAGGGTTATGCAGTCCAGCACTGCGAAAGGCCCCGAATGACCTCACCTGGTGTCACATCCTGAGGTCTCGAAACTACTTCCCGTAATCTCCCCAAGCACTGATAATCAGCCATGTGTGAGGGAAACAAGCATACCACAGTGGAACACGGTGCAAAACATACACAGTACCTGCAGCTACGTTGAT